AATCAAATACAAGTTTGAATCCTTTGTTACTAAGAATAGGACCAGAAATTAGATTCTTAGTAATTTCAAGAACATGCAATACATCACATAAAACAAGTTCTTTTTTAGAAGTCAGTTGTAGCTTCACTTTTCCCTTTCCTTTAATTTTTGCAGTAGAGCCATTACCCATAAACCTTGGTTCAAAATTAGAGATTTTTTAGTATGTAGAGAACATGGTTCGGGAGTTGCAAATGTACCTTGTGGCTCTAGTATCAATCCACTAATCCACACAATTGCTAACCATGTTGGTTAGAATCACAACAACAAACTGATTTGGTGATTTAACCATGTTCGTTTGACTAGAAGTTCCTCCACCAGAATTACTACCATTGTTTCCATTGTTTCATCCTTGACCCCTCCTAAATCTGTAATTTTTAGCCTTGTGTCCAGTTTTTCCACAGACATAGCATGGACCAGAATTCTTCTTGAAATTCTTCGTATTTGGGCCATGATTTTTGCCATTTTTGGAAGAGTTTTTGGAGCCTTGCTTCCCTTTCTTATTGTTGTGCTTTGTCCTTGAAGTACTTGCTTCTCCAAAAAAGTTTGTACTTGGTTCCAAGGAATTTGCATCTGCCTTCTCATTCAATTTTTAATCTTCTTCCACGCGAATTCTCAACACAAGTTGCTCAAAACTCATATCATCAGTTAAGTGCTTAAGATATAGTTTTAAATTCTTCCAAGAAGGAGGAAGTTTTTCAATGATTGAAGCAATGATAAAATTTTAGTTAATTCCCATACCTTCAACTTCAAGATCATGTGCAATAACTTGAAGTTACTCCACTTGCTTGAGGACAGGTTTGGTATCCACCATCTTGAAATTTATGAACTTTCCAATCACGAATTTCTTGGAACATGACACTTCTATTTTGTAATTCTTTTCCAATGATTCCCACATCTCTTTTGCAGTAGTCATGGTAGAGTAGATATCATAGTGGGAATCATCCGAGGCATTCATAATATAATTTCTGCAATTACACTTATTTTTGTTCCAGGTTTCCACAACCCTTTGATGTTCTGCCAATTAGGTTGCAGTGAGTGGTTTTGTTCCTTCTGTAATGGTTACACCAGTAGGAGAAGAGGGAGAATCATCAGTGAGAACATTAGAAACATGAAGAGTTGTTAGATAAAACATCTTTTGTTGCCATCTCCGAAAATCTGAGCCTTTGAACTTCTCAAGCCTTTCCACATGTGTTTTGATGATGGAAATTTGATCCATTCTTCACTTTTTGATTTTTGTCTTAGATTGCTATGAAAAAATTAATCAAAACACAAAATCTAACAAACAGACACAATTAAATCAAATTTATATACAAAAATCATAATCAGAAAACATACTTAAATGTTGATGTTTCCAACAGAAATGCAAATACGAAATTATGTAGATTGAGGCTTACAAATTGTAGTGTTCTAAGACAGAAATTTCCCTGATATGGATCTGTCTAGAGGATAAAACAATCAATCCAAGAAGTGATCTTGAATCTGTCTAAAATTTCTATGTGCCCTTCAACTTCAGAAAAAACAAATTTACCCGAGAATTTGTGGTGTGATAGATTTCTATAACCTTCCACAAATGACTGAAAATAGGTATTTATACGTGTTCATTATGACAATTGGAAACTGTCAAAAACCAAAAATAACTGCCATAATACATGGCATTCAGTAATTACGAATGTAATTAAAAATAAACATTAATTTCGCAATTTAAAAAAATATTTAATTAATCAGGAAGACCTCAAGAGCCCCAAGTCCCATCTTCTGACCATTAAATTTTCTCTTGATATTAGCCTATTTTGAGTCCAATTAGGCAAGTCCAACACCACATACCAAGCCCATCAATCTTAGCCCAATGCTTTATCCATATTGATAAGCTAATGAGGCTTAGACTTATAAGGATGAGCTTTTTCTTTCTTACTTCCAATGTGGGACAAGTTCCACAAAGTAAATTAGAAAAAAATGTTCCAAGATATGTTTCCTTCCAATTTGTGTAACCCCCATCTCTCTTGTACCTACCTTTGCTTTAAGTCTTCAGTGTGACAATTGAATCCATGCTTAGCTTTAAGTGTTATGTTGTAGTAAGGACAAAGAGTTCAAAGGGAAAGGGAGAATTAAACTTCATAACTCAACAAGAGTTACCACATGTTGCTTCTTAGAGGCATAGGATACAGTTCCTCCATTTAGCATAAATACATAACATGAAGTGCTTTTACAAGCATTAATATTTCATCATGTGTGATTCCTTTCGACTATGCATGAATCTGCTTATAAGGCATAAATTATACATCAAATCAAGCATCTAGATATCATATACATCAAACTCCCTAATATTTGTTAATAAATGGTTTTATGCACTTTCTCAAGTGGTTTTTTATTTGACAGCTTGATAATATCAAGAACCATTGGATTTTAAACTCCATTGCAATCACCTAAACCAAATATTTCCATAATTTCTCTAACATATTTCTTTTGACTTATCTAAATTCCCTTATCATATTGATGAATTTCAACTCCTAAGAAATACTTCATTTATCCCAAATTCGACATTTCAAACTACTTTTTTCATAGAAGTTTTGAAAGTTTGCAACATTAACAAATTGTTAGTGATAAACACAAGATCGTCAACAAAGATATTTACATATAGTAGTTTTTTCTTCTCCTTTTTTATTAATAGGGTGTGCTCAAACTGACTTATCTCAAATCCCTTTGTAATGAAATAGTGTTATATTCTACTAAATTAGGTTTTGGGAAATGATTTATCCCCATATGGTGGTTACACTAGCTGCCATGTTTCATTTTTTTTCTATGGCTTCTAGTTCTATTTTCATGGCATCTATCTATTTCTTTAGAAATATTTCATCATTATAACAAACTAGATAATCATTTGTTATAAACATTAAGAAATTTAGTACTTCTTCAACTTAAATACCTTTCTTGATCTACTAATCCGTAGGATAAACATGTGCTTTTCTTTCTCTTTTGTTGGACAGTTGGCATGTTGTTTCTTTATTGGATGATAGATTTCCATCTTCTTTATATTCTTTTTGAGATATATCTCTAACATTAGTGTTGTTTTCAAGGATGTCATCATCATTAATTTCACTAATTGCTGGATTATCATCATCAATTTCTTTTTATACCTATCCTCAATCAAGAGTAACATCTATCATTTTGTTTGTTGTCCTTTCCCAATTCCATATTTTTTTAAATACAAAATCATGAATTAATTGTGATATTCATGTTTATCGTGTTTATCATTTTCTACCCTTTAGATTATTCATTTTATCCAATCATCACTAATATTTGACTTTTGGCTTCTAGTTTAACTATGTTTTCAACAAAAATATCCATACTTCCCAAACAACCCAAAAACCAAAAAATAACGTTGAACATTGGATTTTATACCACGCAAACTCCCTTATGGACATTTATCTTTCAATATTGTTATAGGGATTCTAATGATAACATGGTAGGTCCACGTTGCTACTTTTGGTCATAGTATTGTGGGTATCTTTTTTCTTCAAGAAAGTAGTGTCCAGTATCATAATTGTACTATTTTTGTGTTTATTTACCTCATTTTGTTATGAGATATATTTATGTCATACGTAATGTGGAAAGCTAAAAGTTCTTACGAATTAAATTCTCCCCTGTCAGTTCTTAAACGATACAATTATGACCTATATTTCATTTCTACCATAGTTTTGATGACTTTAAAGCTAAAAATTCTTCACGATTTTCTGTATGAAAGTAAACACATACGTATTGACTACATCATCTATTAGTGTCAACATGTATATTTTATTTCCATGAGATTCTAGAGAAATTGAGCCACATAAATTTGAATTTACCAATGTAGTGGTCTTTTTTATCCATATGATCTTGTTTGTAATTTGTGCTCAAATTTACTTTACAACTATGTAGGTAGAACATACTTTTGTAGTTTTTTTATTTTTAGCCATCTACAAACCATATTTCTATATAAATAAGTGAGAAATTCTTATAACTTAGATGTCTAAGCCCTATATACTAGAAATCACTTGCTTCCTCATCATTGGCATTGAAACATGATGCTTCATTTTTTAGAATGTTTGGTATTCAAAATATACATCTTGTTGGTTTCCATTTCACTTTTTATAATTATGTATCATCTTGGATGAAATAACTTTCAAACCCTTCTATTAATAAGAATGGTTATGTATTTGTCTTGAAGTTGATACATACTAAGTAAATTTTTGTGTAAATCAAGAACAAAGAATACATTAGAGATAGTTTGAAAGCTTGTACTTATGATTTATACACTCTCATATCTACTTTATTTGAGGCCTCATCATTAAAAAAATGTTTTCATTATTTCTTTATCAATGGCTTGATAAATATAATTCTTGAACTTCTTATCCTTAAACTATTTATTTGTAATTACTTTTACCTCTCCTTTTCTCATATCCCTTCCTTGTGGAACAACAACGACTTCGTCTTCAACTAATCCCAACGTTATTTAGCCCATAGATAATTCTCCATCCACTTTTTGCAATGCTTATGCAATCCATAAAATATTGGGATGTAAAGTTGAACAAACGTACTACTATTACTATTCTCAACCATACACACTTTTATGTTTTGATCATACTGTTCCTACCTCTTTCTCTCATTTTAGTTTTAGGAATTACAATTATTTAAAACTAAAACTCATGATTGAATTGATAAATTTAGGGGCTATATATAGTTAATAGAAACAACATAAAGTACTAAAAAGAGGGAACAAACAATCAAATAATTCTATTTTATGGGAAAGATTCCATAGGACTACAAAGTTTGTTATTAATGTTTACAAAGAAACATTGTACTCAATGTGAATACCTTCAAACCAAAATAAAATTAGTTAACAAGTGTTAACATGATAAGTTAACCAAGATAAACAAACTTGAAATTTGCTAACAAATTGTATTTTTTTTTGTTGATATATGTAGGAGGACATTTATTATCCCCACCCTTGGCTACAAGATCTAGCTTGGGACGCTATATATGTAGCAGTGGAACCTATCCTAACTCGTTGGCCATTTAAGAACTTGATTCGAGAAAAAGCGCTTACAACAACAATGAAACACATTCATTATGAAGATGATAATAGTCGTTACATTACTATTGGTTGTGTTGAAAAGGTATTGATTATTATTATATATATTTATATCTATGGAAAACAAAAATAAACCTATGTAGGCACATCCTATTAATTCTCAATCTATGTAGGCATTATGTATGCTTGCTTGTTGGGTGGAGGATCCTAATGGGGACTATTTCAAGAAGCATCTTAGTAGAATCCGTGATATGATTTGGGTACAAGAAGATGGCATGACAGTTCAAAGTTTTGGTAGCCAACTTTGGGATTCTGTTTTGAGTATCCATGCATTAATAGATTGCAATATGGTTGATGAAACTGGAACAACACTAGAGAAAGGACATGAATTCATAAAACATTCTCAGGTCTTTTTCTACTCATTCTTCATTGATTTTGGGTACAAGTTAAAAAAACATTGGTATGATATAATGATTCATAATTAATTTAATTTTAAGATTAAAGACAACCCATCTGGCAACTTCAAAAGCATGTATCGTCACATTTCCAAAGGAGGTTGGACTTATTCTGACCAAGATCATGGATGGCAACTTTCAGATTGCACGGCTCATGGGTTAATGGTAAACTTTAATATTTTTAAGATATCTCTACATATGAACAATATTGTTCAAAAAATTAATTTATTTACCACATTAAAAAGAATAATATTAGATACCTTGACTTTTTAATTTCAAAAATTAGTGGATTTTATGAAATAATCATGCTCATATTTTGTTATTAACATATGAATAACCTCTTTCCTATTTCAGTGTTGCCTCCTTTTGGAAAAGATACCTCGAGAAATTGTTGGAGATAAGATAAAACCCGAGCATTTATTTGACTCCATAAATTTACTACTTTCATTACAGGTCGTCTATATAGTCCTCTTAAAATTTCTAAGGATTACTCCTTATTAGAAACAAAGGAATAATATTATGCTAATTTAAATTTAAAAGCGTTGATATGCTTATATATTAAATAAAGCATATCCAATAAAAAGATAAATTTTGTTTCTCATGTACAGTATAAAAATGGAGGTTTTTCAGGGTGGGAACCTGCAGGCTCTCCAAAATGGTTGGAGGTACTAAGTTATTTTACGAAGTTAGAGCTTTTATGTTTTAGTTTTAAGAGTGTTATACAAGACTTATCTCTTGTTGTCTTCTATGGTAAATAGATGCTCAATCCTTCTGAAATGTTTGCAGACATTATGATTGAATATCAGTAAGACCTCATTATATTAACTATTTGATCTTGATTACTATTTTTTTTATAACATTGATTCCTTTTGTATTAATTTCACTGAACACTAACAAAATATTTTGAACTAGATACGTTGAGTGTACATCGTCGGTGTTACAGGCAATGATATTGTTTCAAAAGTTATATCCTGATCATAGGACTCAAGAAGTTGCAAAATGTATTTCTAATGCTGTTCGATTTCTTGAAGATACACAATGGCCGAATGGATCATGGTACGTATGCTTTTGTGTGGATATATATATATATATATATATATATATATATATATATATATATATATATATATATATATATATATATATATAAGTAGAGAAAGAGAGGAAAAATGAAAATACCTTATAACAATGTATAAGCTTAGGTACCCAACCCATCACACAATGTTGTTTTTTTATGATATTTTCATTTTAATTATAGAAGATTCTTAAACTTCAACCCATAACTTGATTTACTTACAAGATTTTTAAATTTTCAACAGTATCATCCTCATATATCACATATTTTTTCTCGAATACATGGTTGTTTATATGTAATATAGTTGCAAATGAAAATGATGTATAGAGGTTAGAGGAAGATAATGGTGAAAGTACGAAAATTTTAGAAGTGTATATCAATTTATGGGTTGAAGTTTAAGAAACTTGGACAATTACAATGTGTATATGATACAAAATTATTTAGTATGTTATATATATATATATATATATATATATATATATATATATATATATATATATATATATATATATATATATAACCAAATTGCGCTATAGCGGTGCTATAGCATTTTGCGGAGGTCAAGAACCGCTATTTTCAATTTAGCGTTTTCATTTCGCGGTACCGCTATTAGCGGTGCTATTCACCGCTATAGCGGTGCTACGAGCGTTATCCCATTTTCGTTCACTTTTTGGGCCATTTGGTTACTTTGTCAATGAGAAGCTAGTTTTAATGATCTCACTACAATTTCATTTTAAAAAACCCGAACAACTAACATAATTAAAAACATTTAAAGCAACTACGTCTACCGATAACTCTCTTTCTCACCTCTTTCTGTACTCACGAAGACTTGAGGTGCTATGGTCGGACTCCATTAATGCTTTTTGTAAATCGACCAACACCTATACGACTTGGGACTTAACTCCTTAAATAAACCAAGACCTACTAATACGATATTGAACCCATGAAATGCATTTAAACTCTATTTTGATACTTTGAAACTACCTAGTTTCCATGTTACTATAATAGAATATTATGTTATGTTTTTATGAGTTTTGTACATGAGGCTAGTGTTTTAGAAAATTATTTACCAATGTATTGTATTTTAAAAGTATTTACTTAAACATAGAAAATTGGCTTTTTATTGTGGACCCCATTTAATCTATACAAACTAAAGAAAATAACAAATTATATTGCAACCCCCTTTCCTAACTATTCGACCATTGGCTTACGGTTTCCCACCTTGAAAATTGAAATTTTCCAGTGTGTATGCAACCAAGTCCATCACTGTCCCCTTCTTCTCGAACATCAACCTCCCGTGACCATTATAGGAAAGCTCACGTCAAAAGCATGAAATCCAAACACTCTTAAAATACTGGAAAAACTTCAAACCTATGAATTTCCATATCCAAATCAGCTTCTTCTTCCACGTCGGTGGTTCATGGCGAAGGATGGAATAGAAATGAGACAACGATTTCTGGTTTCGTCAAATTTAATATCTCTTGTTCGAGTAGCAATTGATGCAACAGTCCCAATTCATCATCCATGATCGGTGGTGCATTTCCGTCTTTAAACCAACCAGAGGAAGCACCAGAGAAAATGATTGGCGTTTATGTTCTAGTATTTGCTTCAATCTACTTCCTCTTTTTTAAGCTTTTTCCTATGTTTCTCCCCTAGTTTTCCTCCACACCCGGTCGGATCAATTTGAGTTGTATTTAATAAGAGAAAGAATCATAATCTGCATATTGCATTCACTTCATCAAATCATCGTCACGAAGAATTGCGAATGGAGGAGAGAGTTGTATATCTATCGAAGGGGATGGTAGTATTTTTTTTTGAAGTATGATTGGTTTTCTGTGAACAAGTGGCCTTTTCTTCTCGTTTCTCTCCTCGCCGGAGACTGACATAGGAAAAAAAACCTATAACTGGCCAGGTTACTAGTTCTTCCAGAAACGCAAGGTTGATCGTTTCAGTCACAACCTTATATCCTCTCCATCGTGTAACAGTTCAAGTCGGAACTCGAAAATGAAGATTGAAGAATTAGTTAATGGAATCGACATCATTTGCTTCCTTTATGTGATGTAAATCGAATCGACATCTCCAGTTTCTCTTACCTTATGCCATGAACATGAAGATGGACACGAGAGTGAAGAAACCTAAATTCATTTGAAAGTGGCATTGATGGTTATAAAAGTAATTAATGGAGAAATGATATCAATTGAGGGTGGAATGGTGGATGCTTGGTTATGGACCAACTTTGCAACTACACCTCTAAACAAAGAAAAGAAAACAGTAAATGAATTAATTAAAAAACTATATTTATCTAAACTACCATCTTGTGGTAAATAAATATAAAACTACATCCATATGGTAAATAACTCATGTTTTTATATGACTTTTTAGGTTTGATGATATTAATTCTATATAAACTTATAATATTACTACTCAAATATATAAATTCTTATAAACAAATCTCACTATTTTAGGAATATTTTTGATTTTATTTAGAATCATAAAAGTATTGAATCTTTCAATCTAATGCTTTAAGTGTTTTCCTAAATTGATCATATGAACCTAAATCTCTCTCTCTCTCACTCTACATATATATATATATATATATATATATATATATATATATATATATATATATATATATATATATATACTATTTTAGGAATATTTTTGATTTTATTTAGAATCATAGAGGTGTTGAATCTTTCAATCTAATACTTTAAGTGTTTTCTTAAAATGATCATATGAACCTAAATCTCTCTTTATATATATATATATATATATATATATATATATATATATATATATATGATGTGCTTAAAAGAAGTTTTAAATTTATAAAAGTTTTTATTAGAACTAGGGACTGTTAGGTAAGTATACCTAATTGTCTAGTAGTTTAGCTAAGCTAAGATGATAATGTCGAACTCAAGAGGAAAGAGTATGATTTAGGCTCATAAAATTTAAGTATTAGTTAAATTAATGACAGTGAAAAAAATAAGAGTTTTAATTCTAAAACTTCAAAAAAAATCTTAAAACAAAACTAATCAAAAGAAATTAGAAATTTGATTATTAAAGTATTTTCACTTGTATTCGATCCCCCTCAATTGTGGTTAATTTCTCGAAAGTGGAATTGATTTACTTTATTGTGTAAAGACCTATTTTCACAACCAAAAAATTTCATTTTTATTAAATTAAAGCTTACCAATTGTAATCCATTATGAAGAAAACCGTTTATTCCAAATACATTTATTAAAAATCAGAGTAATATTTAAAACGTGGAATCTTCATTGCTACTAATGAATGTTTAGAGTCATGCATTTGCCTTCCCATGTTAACCGATGATAGCTTAAAAGATAAACAACTGGGTAAGCACAAAGCTTAGTGAGTTTCCCCCAAAATACCTTATACGATAAACATACAAGCATGTATAACGACCCACACCCTCCCGATTGGGATGCCTAGCCCCAATCAGTCATTGGACCGGAATGCCAACATGCAATGGGTCCAATCAACCATCGGGCTAGAATACCCAGGGTTTGTTGGCCTACCGCCTCAACCCAACTGCTTTTCCCAAGCCTTCGTGTCTACGGATTACAGCCGACCTGGACCAGGTATCTTGGCCTACAACACAAAGCAGGACCACCTCAACCCACTACTGCCATATGTCGACATATAAATAATCAAGATCAAGTAAGCATATAATACAGGCAAACAAAAATCATACAGCTCAGTACCGCCTACTAGTCATCACGCTGCACACTCTCTCACTACCAACTATCCTCCATGAAATCCGTAACCATAAGTTACAAAATATGATGTAGCCACCCGAGCAGATGATTCTACTCTAGAGCCACAACCAAACAAGGATCAAGCAAGAAAGCCTAGATCAAGAGTTCTTAGGCTATCTTACATGACCACATATAGTCCCTAGGTCACTCCACTAGATGATAACCAGCAATTACAGGTAAACATACTGATCTACAAATCACTACCGCATAGTAGCATCATATATACCGGGATATAGATCTGATAGATCACTACAACATAGCAACATACTAAAAACCAACAATCTAAGGAATGCATAACCGTATATACTCAGAGGTGCGATAGACACCAAGACATGTGTTCCCACTCTAGAACCAAAACCAAATAAGGAGAATGTAAAAGAGCCTAGATAAAGGGTCCTCAATCTATCCTACATGACTACATATAGTCCCTAGGCATCCATCTACTAATAGATAACCAAAAGTAGTGGGTCACCATTGGTGCCTTCGATCCATGGTACAATGAGGCGAAATTCACCTTAATCGAAGACCTCTAAACATTGTGATACGATCTCTTTTTTAGCACTACTTTCTCTAATGAATCCACTAACACCAGAACCAGGTAGAATCTCAATCAATGGCCCAAAATCCTCATGTTTGACCCAAAGTCAAACTTAGTCAAAAAGCCAAAGGTCAACGAAGGTCAACAAATAGACCCTCATGATGTGACCATCTATGGCCTTACGTTGTGATTTACTACAAGAAAAATTATTCAGGTCTTAAAATCCTTACAACGTGACATGCATCTTCCTCGCATCGTGAGAATTCATCTGTACGCCCTTTTGATCCAAAAACCTCTTGATCCATTAATCCATCAGTCCATCTTTTCCATGAGGCTTCCTAATACTCCTTGGATCATAAAAATTGATGCTTTAAGGTATTCTATGTCCAATTCAAGAATTGAGCTTAAACTAGGTCATTCATGAAGAAAAAGGAGGTAATTTCTTAAGCATGGACTCAAACATCCTCCAAACTTTAGATCTATGACATATAAGCACCAAGGGAGCCAAAGGACCGATAAAGTTGCCAACTTTATGGAGTTCTAACACTCTAAATCTTAATATCTTGGATAAATATGCATAAAACCTTAGATCTAGCAACAAGGAAACATAAAGCTTGGATCTTGATTACTCATATTGGTCCAGAATTGTAGCTAAGGGTTGCAAATGAAACTATGCTTCCATGGTAATCTCTTTTTCTTCAAACCACCAAAACTCCACCAAAAGCTCAAGAATCACAAAGAGATAATAGGATTAGGGTTTTATTAAGTTTAGGGACGAAGGAGGTTATTTAGAAACCCTAAAAGATCATGGGCTTGGGCTGCAACGTATCTCACATCGTGAGCTTCTTACTGCTCATGTCGTGAGCTCAACATGATTTGACTTCTTTGTTTAATTACTCCTCATGTCATGACCCTACTATGGTTCACGTTGTGAGCCTTGTTTTTACCCAAAAACCATGCTTTGATTCCTTGAAACCCTAAATTGATCCAATCTGGCAAAGAGGGTGTTACATGTTGGCTATCAATTACTAGTACTTTGTTAATATTGTGAAAGACTTGATCTAGTAATTAATCTCAATGGTCATGAGAATTAATTGGGTGCATAGAATGGACAATTATTGCAATCTTACACTTTAAAGTTTGGTTACTTTATAACTTAACCCTATGATTTGGTTCATTACTAGTCATACAACCTTATAAGTCATAAAGCAGGTATGATTCAAGTCAAAATAGTTAGAATTACCAAAACAAAAAGTATGTAAAACTCGACAATGAGCAATAAAGACAGAAACTTAAACATGTTAGGATCTTTGATAAAGCAAACATAATATTATATCTAACTAATAAATCCAAATATTTTGAAATACAACCATAATATAGTGGTTTATCTACTCTAAACGAGAGCTAAGGGGATTAGCCCACATAATCCCAGATAGAAAAAACAGTAAGAAATCATAACAAAGTTTCTAGACATGATAACTAAAAGAAAACCAAATGATTTACACTTGATTTCACTCTTATATCTTTAAAATCATGCTCCAATGTTGATCTCCAGCTTTGATTGAAACAAAATGGAGGGTTATCATCAACAATGGCATTATGGTAATTAAAAGAGATTTTTTTTTAACTAGTTTCAATTTTGAAACAAAAATAAGGATAAATTATAATTTTTGGTTTAATAAAAAAATTAAAAATGGTGGATTTTAAGTGAAATAAAAACAATTTACGATATCATTCCTCACAAAGTCGGGATATAGGATGTATTCAATCATAATATGAGAATACTTTAGAGAGCGAAGTCTATAAGAATTGAATTGTATTACATAATTAACATTTTTTTATAAATAGATACAATTTATAGTACTTGAATAAAAATCAAACAAAAAACACTAATGCATTCTAAAAGTATATGGTTGCTGATGTGTTTTGAAAGAGTATGCTTATTGATGCATTCTAAATGAATATGTTTTCTATGAAAAAAAACATTCTAAAAGAATATGTATTCTAAAAGAATGAGAAAATTGCAATCTATTTGAAATCTATTTTATTGGTATGATCAAGAAAGAAAGATGAGCATGGTTGAGAGCTCTTGTTATATATGTGTTCTAGTTATATCTTGACATGATGATGGTGACGATGTGTGAATTAGGTGGTGTTTGATGGTTTGTTATAGTGAGATGTTGTTCCGGTGATGACAATAGCTATAATAAAGAGCTAGTGGTGATGTTGGTTGTTGATGATGGTGGTTGTCTGGATGATGATGATAATGGTAGTTGCATAAAGATGGTCTTGTGATTGTGTACGGTTGTTTGAAAATTATGAGATGATGTGGAAATGGT